CATTTGGATGCCCCAACTTTGCCTCTCCAATTTCATCAACTGGATATGATTCCCGGCGCAAAAACATGACCAAGTTGGGGTCAAAGTCGGGCGCCCAGTTGGGGCTCTAAATTCTAATTATGAAACACCCTATTGGTAAGGGCATGCCTAGTGTGAGGCGATGTGATCGCCGTGTCAGATTTGAATCACTTCTGCAATTCTCAGCGTCTAGAGGTGCATGCCCCAGCCACGATGAATAACCTATGGTTGCTGAATAGCGGGAACCTACCTCCATGCCAAAAGTGCGGGCGGTTGCTGATTAAAATTATCCATTGTAAAGACAGGTGCCTCGAGTCAAACAACATTTAACAGCACACGGAACGAATCGGTTCTCGGCGCCTAATAGAAATTAAGCCCTCAGGATGTGTCCTCATGGATGGACCAGAATCCACCCTCGATTCCCTTCTATTTGCTCCACCAGAGATCGTACAAAATGGGAGTTAGCGGGTACACCTTGCGTGGCATGGGTGTGGCATGCAGACAGATTACATGAGGTTCTACTGACCTCGCACGGCGATGGGAAGTGATTCTGAGAAGAAGGCAGCGGGATAATGCCCTTGGCATTCTATTTCTGGACCCCCAGAGTGCGTGCAACCTTGAGTGTAACGCAGGTACTTAGGTAGGTAGCTCGTATTACAAGGCCAGTCCTGCTTAGGAACACCGGGCCCAGGAAGTAGCTAAGGCAGAGCTGAGAACACTGAGAAACGAGCAACCAGCCGCCAAGCATGTGCGCATCCAGGAGTCGCCGCACAGCCGCCTGCCTTTGGCCATACTAGGCCGGCACAGCGAAAAAAATAACACAGACAGCGCCTGCGGTGATGAAGCCTCGTGTGTCCCTCGTGGCTTTCCAAAATTATGAAACCTAAAAGTATTTTAGACTTGTCTCTTTCATCTTCCTTACGGCCATTTTTTTACCCCAGTTGCTGATTATTCTTGCCGGGTCGGCACTGTCACCGCGATCCGATCAGGACTTGCCGGGTGATCCGTGTTTCAACGTCTGGATTCCAAGCACGTCTAAGGAATTCAAGCTTCATACTTCGTCCGAAGGGATGTTTTGTCTCTCCCAGAGCTCAGATTCCCGAGCCTCGGTGATGTGCCCGAGTGCTCATACGCCAATAGTAAGTACTGCTCATATGCAACCAGCGAGTCAACGTTATCAGTAATACACGCGGAGCTGTCGTTCGGCTGATCGGCACCGTTCGGCACTGAATGCCGGCCGCCCGTTGGCACACCAAGTTCCAGTGGTCCTCACTGGCTCACGACGCACCCACGCGCTTCCGTTGGTAGCCACTGGATATCAGTGTATTTGACCTTGGTGAACCTCCACCGGTTCACACTGGCCTCCAATGGTGTCTGACCTGCCAAATGAGATCAAAGTTTCAACAGATTTACAACATTTGTTGGAATCTCGGTCTACGAGAGACTACAAAAGATTTCGCAGTCAATCACACAGTTGCACAATTGTGTTGGCTTTGGTTGGGATCCTCTTTCCTTCCAGTAATTTCTAACAGACTCCAGTGAGTCCTGTGGAACCCACCGGCTGCCACTGTTTTACACTGGAGTATGGCACCAATTTTTTTTTTTGAGATATCTTACAACAAAGTGAGGCACGAGGTTTATCTTGTTAAAGTGAAGATCACAGTTCATAATTTATTCGTTTGACTGGAACAGGACTACAGTAAGGACCTGCCTTCCTCAAAAAAAAAAACTACTCCATTGTAGATCCTTCCTTCTTACTTCTACCCACATAAGCCCCGAGTCATTGGTAGGGGCAGGATTGCACCATGAGCAAGCACTGGCCTACCAGTAGTGGACAATGGACTCCAGTGGATCTCGCGTATCAGCTGGGAGACGACAGTTTGGTTAAACCCGGCGGTGATCGTCGGAAGCATTGTGCCTCACTCTTGGCGTCACTGGCAAACCATGTCAAACCCTGTCCATCGGTATATTACTCAACGTTACCACCCGTGATATTCTTCCTGGTATGTCCATTTTCCGGATCAGTCTCCTGACCTCCTCAGACCCTTCGCCCGAATAAGTGAATAAACCCCGGGCCGACCAGATCTATCAGTCGACTCGTCAGTCCAGCCCGCCTAATACTGCCACACAACATGGGCCACAAACAGGAGAATAGGTGGAAGATCCCGTTCGACTCGGCGTCAGGTCATCATGGAAGCCTCTGGTGTTCTTTTTATCCTGTACGCGGTTTAATCTTCCAGCTGGCATTCCAACCTATTTCTTCTCAGGTTCGCATTTACAAGGAACTATCCATGTGCATCCCTGGCTAACGAGGTATCCAACGAGGTGCCGATACACAGTTATCGTCAACTGGGCTCGCCTTGTATGTATTGTGCACATGGTAAGAATCTGTCTATTTGCATCCGAATCAGAATCACATTCGTCAGGCGCGGGAACCGAAAAGGAGAAAAAAGGGTGCACCCGGGCATTTTATTGGGACGCGGGGAGCCGAACCCCGGACTTTGCGGCAATGCAACATCTGTTTCCTTGCTCAGCGGCCCACGGTGTTCTGTACACCACGTCCGATGAGTATACCTGTTTCGTGCTTGGTTAATTTAACCGAGTTTTCTTTGATCTGACACAAAATGGCTAGGGCGGATCCAGGAATGTCCTCTGCTTTCTCTCATGAAATGAATAAACATTTTTGTCACCTGTATCGCTCTGCCTGTTCAACCTACGATCCTGGCGAATCCCCAAACATGTATGAAACCTAGAATGAAAGACAGCTCAGGGTTCAATATTCTGACGCGGGGAGTCGAACCCTGCCCCGCGAGTTACTTCACTTCAGTTTAACTACGCACAACAACCCTCGCGGTACGCCGTACACCACGCCCGATTAACGGGCGTGTTGAGCTCCGACTGAAACCAGCGACGTAAAAATAGTTTCTCTCATTTTGGAAGTGACCTGTATTCTGGACCCGGTGGTCTAGAGAATATATTTCTAATCTGTACGCGGTAGGGGGACGAGTTCAGGAGCCGCGACCGCCTCTTTCGGCAAGAGAGCTTCGAAGCTGTGTTCTTCCGATGGCGCCGCCAATGTGTCGAGGTTTCTCGTGCTTTAATCGCAATCTGCCAAATGAGGTTGAATTTGAAGCTGCCCGCGCACAACTAGATCTAGAGCAAATTTGCCTCCCGAGTATCGCGAACTCAGAAGAAGAGATGTGCTGGCCCCGAATATCGGAAGAATTCTCTGGACGATATTAGAGACACCAGGCCAGTACCGCACTGCCATGGCGTTAATATAGGGGCAAATACCCCGAATAATACAAGACGCACGGAGGACGGACCGATCGAGATGGAAGGGACACTTCAAAAACTTTTGGCAATTTGCTCGAGCGTCGCGTCGAGCGAGTCGGGAATGCTCTCCCGTGGACGGATCGGCTGACTGGGGTGTGTTACTCTCATCTGCAAACACTCTAACCACAGGGGGTCGCGGCGCCACGAAAGGACATCCGTGGGCGGAACGAACGGCTTCGTGTAGTTCCATGGGAATCCGGGGTCGCGAAGAAGGACGCTGATCATCCCCGGGCGCGGCGAGGTGGTGCTGTCAAAGAGCTCGAGCCGCTGCTGGGGTATTTTCGAGCGGAGGTCGGCGACCGGAAGCACTCGGGCGTCGACGATTTCGTGCGTATACGGCGGCTTGGCGGCAGGGAGAAAATGAACGTAGATGAACAGAAGGAACTTATCTGCCAAAACAGAAGATTCGTAAGATATCAGTTCGGAGGAGAGGAGAAAACAGCGGACCGGTGCGCTCGGGGTGGTTCATTATATCCAGTGCACTGACGCATGCTATGCCAATTGGAATACTGAAGACATCGCACCACTTGCGGATGGCCTTTAAGCGGTCGCTGCAGTCAGAGCCCAGAGCCTCGGCCCTTTTGGCTGATAACACACATGATGAGATCTAATTAGCGGGAATCACAACAGTAACGCACACAACTCGACGTTCATAACACAGTGTGGCTTGTGTTTTTTCCAGTGCGCCTTCTGGCATTCTCTTGACTTTATACCTTCGGTCAAAAGAAAGTGCAGTATATAAAGGCGGAAATGCCCACACAATATCGCATGACACCACACCCCGCACATCTGCGTAGATCCATTCGGGTCATGCAGTTTTCACACATTTCTGTCGGCCGGGCGGGCATCGCGGATGTGTACCGACGTAAATGGAAGCCGTCAGAGAGAAATTGTCTCTGGTAAGATAGTGGAGCGTCGCGTCCGATGAAGGCGAGAACAAAGAAGCGACCAAAGTGACGCACTCAAGATGCACTGCCACAGTTGATGGCATCCACGTCGGCCGACGGCAGCCGAGCCGAAAGATCCCACCGCCATGGCGGTAGAGCGCCAGACTTGTTCGTTTCCAACCGAAGCCTGAAGGTCCAGGCCCCGCAATTGAAAGACTACTTTCAGTAAAGGATAAGAATGTTGTAAGAATGTCGAAATTTCACCAGTACTTCTAAATTCCAACTTGAAATTTGCTTCAAATCCCGGTGGCAAGAAGTCATCGCGGCTCGGTTGTAGTTGAAGGGAGAATCATGTTTGAAAATACTGTCCTCTGAGTGAGGGTATCATTATGCCGTCGCCGCGCAAAGTTGCGTGCCGTTGATTCCATTCTCATCTTTGAACCTCTCAGTAAGGAAATTATCCGAAGGTTTACTCCTTCTTCTGCTCGTCCTTCCCCAAAATAACACGTTTTAATCTTCACCCCTGCGCCGCTCGAGCCGTGATTCCATTTTTTTTCCCCGTTCAAATATCCACTGATGTCCGGTCCCGGGATCAACAGATAGGGTGTGCATAATAGCAGAAGAGGATCCGCGGCCAAATGTATCCCGGGTAATAACCATGCCGGTGGGAGTATACCCTAGGCGCAACAGTGAAATGGGCAGAGTGGGCTCTATTTACGGAAGCGGGATTTAGAAAAAACATTTGATCGCACTTCAGCGTTCGGATGCGGGGAGTCGAACCCCGGATTGCGGGCTAGAAAGGGAAGAAGCAGACAGAAGCCCCGCGGTGCACCGTGCACCACATCCGATTATCGTATCTGTTTCTTACTTCATTAACTCAGCATCTGAATAATGAGAGCAGAATTACATAAATAAATAAAATCCGTCTAACGGACCCGGGAGTCAAGCCCATTCTCCAGGCTGTAATAGGGACTCTTTGCATAGATATGCTCGCGGGGAACCACGACGCCGGATTTCCTTTCTTTGGGGCCAAGGAATGACAGAGATTGGGCGGAGCATCGCACCAGGCGTATTGGTGAATTTCCTCGTCCATGAGACCCTCATCCTTCCCTTAGACTGTCGACGTCTCCCACAAATTGCGCAAATGTACATATTTAATAGTCGAACATAATATACAGCCTTTAGGAAAAGGAATGGAATGAATTCGGCGCAGCCAGTCGCTCCGAGTCAAAGGGTCGTTCTTTTCGGGAAGGAGCGAATGAGAGGAGAATCACACGTGCACCGTCCCCGCGTTCAGGCGCGCCGGGCCCTCGTACGACGCGGCCTCGGCTACGCCGCCCATGCCCGTACCCCCGGCGCCAGCATAGTATCCGCCCGTGGTCTTCATCGGCATCGCGTTCGCACCGAGGCCGGCGTCAAAACCACCCCGGCCATGAGCACCCTTGACGAAGAACGGTGCCGTCGAAACGCCCGAGGTCCATACGCCCGCATGGTTGCGGCTCGCGGCGATGATGGCGAGGATCAGGATGAGGTTGGTGTAGAACAGCACTGCGGGCCGCGAAATGAAAATGGTTACGTATTTTCGCAGGAAAAACGGAAAAAAGGAACGCACATATAATCCAGCACAAAAATGCAAACGCCTCGATGACGACAATCTCGGTGCAGTTGGCACTGATGGTGGGATCGTCGTAGTTGCAGTCTTGGCCCGGGAAGACCTGCTGAGAGGCGTCTACGCCTAAACCACCTGTGGCGAGCCAGAGGACCCAGAGGACCGCTGTGGATACATTCAAGCTCGAGTTGAAGTCAAAGTTGGAGTGGAACTCACAAAGCCACGCGAGCTCAAAGACGATCATTGACGTGAAAAAGCCGCCTGGCCGGACAAATTCCACGACGATCCTGCGTGTATCGGAAGTGGCGCTTAATACGCACATAATGACCTGGAGATCAATGCGCACATTACGGGCAGCGTGATGGATGTGAGGGCGGCTGTTGCAACAGCCAAGGCCGAGGCTGAGGTGTATACGGAGAGCCATCCGAAGGGCGTGGTTAAAGCGGCGGAACCTGCGCCTAACGCGATGAGGGAAAATAAGACTACGGCGGCTGTGCGTGCATTCAGGAACTCAGAACGAAGAAGACGGATCGTTGGCGACCCACATAATGTGATGAGACGGATGATGGGGATGACCGCCATGATGACAGTGGAGAGGGACAAAGGTGTGTGGGCGCTGCTTTCACGTTGCTTGTCGCTTTATATCTTGGCCGTGCGCTAATCTAATCTTAGTTGAGCGCGAAAGTGGACGGATTGACTACTTTGACTGACGGCTGGCATACTTGGCAACTTGATAATCATCTGATGCACTGCCCTTTCGAATGGAGACCTGTTTTTATGCGTGGAAAGGACTACTATAATTTCCAGGTCAGTGGCCCTTGCGGCAGATACTAGGAGTGAGAAAAAGGAAAACCCCCATCTCACAAAGCCCACGCCCGAATCGAACGGGGCGTCCTGTGATAACCATTCTGCGGAACCACCCATGGAACGCAGGTGCGGACCGTCCGCCCCCGAGCTTGACCAAGTGTGATGATCCCCGTCAGCCATTGGCGAGTAAGATCACCGACACCAGGGAAATTCGTGCTGCCAAGTAAGTGCTGGAACAAGAGGGGCCATTATAATGACACGGGGAGTTCGATTTCATGTCCCAAAGAGTTTCTCGGGGAGTACCTTACAGCTCGAGCCCGGGTCGACTGCACTGTAGCCTGACAATAGATGCGTTTTATCAGCTAGTGGAGTTCGAAAGTGGAAAAAAAGTAGTGGTTGAGAATGCAACTGGTTGTTCCAATGAAGGTACTGGAGAGCGACATTGACGCGTACACAGAGCACAACAAAACTCTGGACGCGTCCTTTCTTGGTCCTGAAAGTTTTGTTGATTATCGATTCCACGAGGTTCTCTCGCACAAGCGAATCAAATTCGGTGCCGAAGGACGCAGAATCGCGGATGTCCGAAGTCAGAAAAGGTGAGAAAGCATGCCGAGAGTACGAAGGGCGAAGATTTGAACTCTTGGGTCGTGAGCTACGTCGGATCGGGTCTAGAAGAGAGATGACACTACCGTTCGGAGTCGTCAGGAGAGATAACCGCAGCTCTCGACGCTACATCGTTGCTACGTGGCGGAGCGTCGTCGTGGGGGAGACAAAGGATCCGGCCATCAAACCATCAATCTCCGGATCAGTGGCGGTGTGTCAGAACTCCGACACGACGCTCAACCAGACAGCTGATGCGCCGAAGGGTTCTTTTTTGCTTACCCACCATGGCCCGGCGGAATACCACCAATCAACCGGGCTCGAATCGAATAAGCATATTTCCTTGGGAAGACTGCAAATCAGATGCGGACCACCCGCTATTACCGAGTCGTTCCTCGGGTAAGGACGACAATTAACCCTACAAAACAAGATGTCTTGGTTGGCATGTACCACGAAGAGGACAAGCAATCAACAAGGAATCGAATTGGAAGGACTTCAAACGAGAAACTACATACATACGTCATGGATGTAGCGTAGAATTGATCGGCGAAACGGAGTCACATAGTCACCCCCTTCAGTCAAGCCAGCTTTGCTACTCAATCTGCGAGTCAACTTAAATGAGGCCACGCATTAGATATGTGACGCACGCACCTCAAGAGGCGAAGGGTTCTGCTCGTGCAAAAGTCCACAGCAACAAGTTCTGCGAGCATAACTCGCGTATCCGCGCGATTACGCCAGGCTCGAGGTTGCGACGACACCCTCGCAGCCTGAACACCTCAACCTCAAAGACTGAGACCGAGTCGTCCTGCCGATGCGATACACGCGAGATGAGGAAGTTGAAGAAGAGGTTGTCATCAAATTGTAGCCGTGACCGGCGAAAGACGAGGTGCCGGAGATGAGGAAGGAGGGTCTGGAGTTCTGGTTGCCGAGTGAGGCTCGAGAGAAGGGAATTCTTGATAATAGGTTCCACGCCGTCTCGGTGATCGTCCGAAATTTCCAGCCGCTGCACCGCAGGAAGAGCGGATAAACATTCAGCGAGCTCAACCGCCCCGATGGAGAAATCGGATATATTGAGAGATCGAAGATGGGTATAGAACGAGGAGCGCGAAGAAAGGGCGAGGAAATCGGCATGTGGCCAGGGTAACGGGGTGAAGTAACACGAGCGGAATGTTAAAATCTCGAGACAGGGTAACGTCAGGTTGGCGAGAATGTCGGTGACATCCGGGGCGCAGCTGGGCTGAGGGAACTCGATCGAAAGAGTTCCGACGTTGGACAACGTTGGGGTTAGATACGGAATACGACGCTGGGAACCGCTCCAGACAAGTTGAAGTGCAAGGCGACATGTTGTCATAGGGGATAAACCCGCCATTGACGATAGGGCTGAAGTCACTTTGGGTAACGTGACGCCGACGTATTCCAAAGTCTGCAGTTGCTGGAGATGTGGTCTGGCTAATCTGAGCAGTAACTCAGAAATGACCAGGCGCTTCAACTTCGGCGCTACATGAAAAAGATCCCCCGTGGCCGGCGCCGCCATCTGAGTTTCGACCAAATGCAGCTCGAGGCTCTCCAATAGGGGGAATCTTCCTTTGGATAAACGTTCTAGGCCTGGAAAGCGGCCCGTGAAGGCTGCGGTTTTCCACCGCACCGAGTGCTTCACGAGCAAGTCGACTGCGTTGGTGGAAGCTGTACCTCGAGGTGGCAACACCACGCGGAGGGCAGACCCAGCGCCCCGCTCTATGACAGTCTTGAGCAGGGCCGTCATCTTTTCAGGATGGAGATCTTCCCAGACACGCTGGGGGAAATCGATCGTGCTCCAGAGCGAGGCGGTGCCCATCACGATGTCGTGCCACCTGGCACACACCTGGGACACTGCAAAGAGAGGGGCATGGGCATGACGATGCTTTTCTCTATCCGCCCATAGAGCAACGGTGGGAGGGAAAGGTTTGGAACCTATCCGGAATATCGCTAGAAGAATCTCGACAGGGAGGCGTCTGACTGGTGACCGCAGGCTCAGCCCTTGACAGTCATCGTAATATGCTTGCAGAGCCGCGCGCTCAGCAAGCAGAGTGGCGTGCTCGGATTCCACCGCGCTGAGAACGGCTTGAAGTCGGGCGATTTCTTTATCATACCGCGCGCGCTCGTTGTTGTATCGAGTGAGCTCGGCGGATAGCTCGGAAATGGTGGATTGGAGGTGCTCTGGGGGCTCGGCATGCGCACGCAGAAGCTCGCGAATGTGGGTTGTTTTATTTGGAGGGACAAGAACCGTTGGAGTGAAGCTTTTGAACCCACAGGTAGGGCAGGAATTGACCATGCTGGAAAACAGCAAGATGATGAATCAGCAAGTCAGCGATGCATCGACGCGTCAGCAAACAATCGGCGTGCGGCCCGCAATTCCGCCTCTTGATTCACCATCTTGCCGCCATTTTTCGGTTCTTTTTCGTCCTTAAACATTGCTGGAGCAGAACTAAATCAGGGTTCCAGAGCAATACGAAACCGGCGTCCCGCTCTCAAATTTCAATCACGGGCGTGCCAGGTCTCATCCACGCCGACTTTTCGAGTTTGACGCAGCCAGGGTTAGGGTTAGGCAGCGCCATCCTCCTGACAAGCCGTCGCGGTGACATCTCGTATTCGCTCAATATTACGCTGTCTTCGATGCGACACCATTCACGAAGGCATATGGAGTTACGTGGTCCCTCTTCAAAATATCGCCATTCACTTCAAACACGATTTCCCATGGGAATCCCAGGTGAATGCAACGTCTCTCTGACATCCCTGCACACTGAAGAGTTCTGTCTAATTCTGCTACCTGATCTCAGGTCGGAGTCAGGACAT